CAAAACCCAAATTTTATCTCTTCTAGGCGGTGGTAAAGAAGGGAATGTCTTTTAAGTTAATGGAATGTTTGTGTCTGTTCTTGGTTGTAGAAATTGCTGGACTTTGCAAGACAATATATTTTGCACATGAAAAACAGGTCTTTAATGCTTCTGTTAAAGTAAAAGAAATTCATATTGTAATAAGGAAAATTGACAAGAACAAGCTGAAATTGATGCAGTTAAAAGAGCGTAAAGTCGAAGAAGAGATGGAATTTCTCCTTTTGCCTTATTTCTGATCCAATGATTGCTAGAAAAGAGATATCTTTTTGAAAAGGTAAGTAATGATTTCTAAGACACAGTTAAATTGCTTTCTCAAAAGGATGTAGGTATATGTAAATGGACTATATCAAACTTAGACATGGCAAGATTTGAGTCTACAAGATCTTATAGGTAAGCAGCAGCGAAACTGGCCCTAGTCTTATATGCGGATTTCCACTGAAGGAAAGTTGATGGGGAGTTCCTCTATTCATTGTCAATGGAAGACATTGAGAGCTGGAAATTCTTTGTGGAGACTTGTTTAGTTAGTTGTCTCGACCACCTAGTAGGATGCATCAATGGAGTCATGGAATGGGCAGCTAGGGCAGGGTGGATAACAGCCGACATCAAGGAGTGTAGGTTAAGTAATATATTGACATCATTTCGTATGTATTCCGTCGAAATAATCATATATGCAGGTAAGGTAGATGGTGACTTGTTTCTATCATTGGATATATGGATGTTCACCATCCAACTTAAAGTAACAACTAACAAGTGACATCCAGATTACACCTTCATATAAGACTATTTCGACGGAATACATAAAATTGATATCAGCGCATTACCCGTGGTGCAGGTGCATGGAACTACTTATCAGGAGGAGGAATTTGTCATGGCCTTGACTGTCATATCTAGGGTCAAACTTTTTGTTAAAAAAAAAAGGAAGAGATCCCCACCTTATGGAAGTTTTCCATGTCCTATATAACTATCCCCCGGAAGGGGCACAAAAATGGTCCCTAACCCCAAATCCTTCAGGAACCTTAGTTGGGATTGACGAGAAAAACAGGAAGAGATATGGAGCAAACTAACGAAGAGGAAGGCGGGAGGAAAAGTTGGGGAAGAGGCCGTCTTAAATGCACATGATGACTGACAGCGGCCTAGTGTCAGGACAGATGAAAGCAAGTGGAAGATGACACTAGACCTAGGTTTCTTGGGCCAGGATTTATGGACATTAAATCAGTCCCTCCCAGTGTTGTGAAGAGCGTGAAGCGAGGAAAAGCGACAACCCCCATTTCACGAGAAGCGAGAAGTGAAGCGCTCGATTTTTTGAAGTGAAGCGGAATTTAAAAATAAAATTAAAATAAATACTGCATAGACAACACATGTAGTTGTAAGCAAATGTTCAATACTTTAATTAAAAAACTAAATAGTAGCATCAATTAAAGCACAAAATGAGCATCCTATTCTTCTACATTTGGATCACCACCGATTAGATGTGCTTTTTGACGATAGATTTTCCCATTTGAAATCTTATCACAAAAAAGACATCTAATGGCCATCTTGTTGGTCTCGCTAACAGAGTAAGCCCAAACCGGTTCTTTCCTATCTTCTTTTGGCGCCATTAAAAGAACAACTACATAACACATAAGAAAGGCAATAAGAACTAAGAATAAAGGATATAAAAAATTAGAGGAATTCTCTGTTAAAAACTGGAAAAATTGGGCAGTAATTTTCTGGAAAAAATTTGCCAGCATTTCGCCTCTTTTTGGACGTTTAGAAAGAAAAAGAAAAAGAAGAAGAAGAAGAATGAAAATCAGAAGTTCAGAACATACCTGTTGAAGTCTTGAACTTGAAGTTGAAGAAGAAGAAGAACAACCCTAGTTGATGCTTTGAGATTCTTTCAGAAATAAGAAGTAGATGAAGAAGAAGTCGATGCTGTTGGAAGTTGAAGAACCCTAGTCGTTGCAGTTGAAGAAGTCCAGACCAGTGTTTAATCCAAAAAACTCGTTTTTAATAAAATAGGGTTGGGTATTTTAAAACAGAAAAGCGGACGCTTCTTCGCTTCGCTTCGCTTTCCCCGCTTCTCGCTTTTTACAGAGAAGGGGTCGCTTTTACTGACCTGAGTCGCTTCACCTTGCTGAACCGCTGCCCTTCACGCTTCGCCTCGCTTCTCGCTTAAAGCGAGGAAGCGAGCGCTTTTTTAAACACTGGTCCCTCCTTAGGCCAAAAGTGCATAGCCCATAATTATGGAGATACTGACAAGCTCAAAGTTGTGATAGATTTCAGCCCAATGACAATAAGGCTAGAGGAAACAAAGCTAGGAGGCCCAAGGAAGAAATCTAAAAAATTGACTAGTAGGCCAGCTAAGCCTACATCTTACGAATTAGCTACATCTTACGAGCCCTTTGTTGAAGGAAGCGGTTGTTGCTTCACTTAAGAAAATGGTTGTCCAACCTAGGCACGACAAGCCGAGGCTCGTGTCACGTCCCAAACTGTCCCTAGATATGATTAGCACACAACACTCCACGCCAGGCGAACTATATCCCATATAATTAACCATTTATACAAGCACTGGGAGAAAAGAAGAGCATTATTAATAATTAAATGCGGAATAATCATCAACCAAATCCATAATCTATTAATAGAAAATCAATGATTACTTAAGTAATAAAACTCTAGCCCAAATCCCACGCTAAGACAGTCGAGCATCTAATAAAGTTATATGTGTTTAGCTGGCCGGTATGCAAACCCAAGGCAAAGGAAATAATTGGCATAAACTAGATAAAGCTGAAAAGATGACCTCTATGAACAATGCGGTGGCTCACCTTAGCAACATAATCAACCCTAACGAATTCATCATCCACTAGCTCTGCCGTCCGCAACAATATCTGCATAGAGATGCAGGTAAATAGTGAGTTATACATAAATATAACCCTGTAAGATCCTTGACCCGTCCCTTTGAGTACTCATCGAACAAATGTTAGAAAATACAAATACAACAAGGACAAAATAATATGTGCAAAAATCATATGCATTATAATATATCAGCCGAGTATAATTAAAATATTCAACAAGAGCCTACCACATCTCATACAATTTGCTAAAGACTTGTCATATTCGATGGTGGAGGAAATTAACCAAACACCCCAACGAGTCTACGACAACATATGCTATGCTCCAAATCTATCACGACGGCATACATAATGCCCCAAGTATATTACAGGAGCAAAGAAACTAATTGAACATTCCAATGCTATGGCACGAAGCCATGCCACACAACCAGTCAATCATTAAATTATTTCAGCATTTTAAATAAAATAGTATATTCGCGGCCAGTCACAGACTACCGATTCTGCCAAGCACACGCTTGTCCCAACACATGAACCAGGCCGACAAAATATAGTTTAAAAGTAAGCTTTGAAAAGTAAGCGCCAAAGTTTAAAGTCTCACTTACCTCACTTCCGCAGCCTTGCGACGTCTAGAAGGCCAACCATTTTATCCAAATACTAAATAACACGTCCTAATTAGTCTAGGTGAATAATTTCCACAATTTTAGGACAAGTCAAAATCAAAGTCACCCCCGGTCCAATTAATTAAAAATCCGTACACAAATAAATGCCAAATGAGGCACTTTAGCAGTGTACCAAAATGCCAAAACAGTGGCTTTAGTCATACCACCAAGCCAGCATCATTATTTTAATCATGGCATCATGATGATTCCTATATTCCAATGTACTTAGTAACAGTATTTGTGGCAATGTGAAATAAGAGGTCTCGTTTTCAAATTCCTCATCTCATATCTTATCATTACAAGCTATCAATCATTATCTCATCATTAGAACCCAATCATTAGTTAATCATCACCCCTCACGTCATTACCCAAATCATTGGGTAGTCATTATTCTTCCTAAATTTAAAAGAACAAAAATCAATACTACATTTTTTTCACCCATAGCAGATTAGCTTTTCATATCAAATTCCACTAACTCATTATCATTTCCATATTATTTACCCCACAATCCTAATCATTATGTCTCCCACTCATCATCATCATCATATCATTGATTCATTATTGGCATCATTAATACTTCTTAGATCAAACTCACTCACTCACTCTCTCTCTCTCTATATATATGTATATATGTAAAATTTATTTTCTTGGGTCTAGGAAGAAAAAACACTCATAGAGGAATTCACTGATGACATTGCAGTGAAAATTTCATAGCTTGAGGTATTGTAATTTCATATGCTAATGGGTCAAAGAAATTACAATACCTGAAGTTTTGAAATTTTCAGTGCCCTAACTCCTTAACGTCACTGGTGAATTTCTCTACGAGTTTGCTTCTTTTCTTCCAAAATCCAAGGAAATAAATTAACCTAATTTCTACTCCCTAAGCCGCTATGATTAATCAAACTTTCATTCTCATCTTCTATTTTTCCAAATTGATGGCAAAGCTTGCTCTGGGCACTTGTGTAATTTTCGAAGTTTGATTGTTCTAGTGCCCCTATCTATCATTTAACCTTGAGGGAGTGAAGGAGCATTATGTATTACGGTTTCCTTCTATTAACTGTCTTGCAACACTCTTTTTTTCCCCTTATAATTCCTTTTTCTGGTGGCCCTGTTTGTTTTGTCCTTGGGGG